TGAGACTTCATACTCTAACATGGAAGCCACCTGGTTCTGAGACATGTATGTGTTATGAATTTTGAAGTAGGTAGTTTAACAATTAATGATGTGTGTAAGATAGTCCACTTGTAGGTACAAATTATTGTGTTAATTGACCTGTATGAGCACTGTTGTCATCATAGATAGCCTAGAGATACAAATCAAATTTCAGGTTTGCCCAAAGGGAACAAAAAAATTGAGAACACAGAAAAGACAAAACCAAGCCAAACCAACAAACCCCCCAAACCTTCACTATGTGCCAGCCAAAAACAATGCTCTACCATGGTAGGGACCTGCGTCCTATTTTCTGGATTGCTGGCTCTCCCCCTGCCACCACTGACTCTAATCTGGTCAGGATTTGACCAAACTGAATCTGGAAGTGCTACCTTTAAAACTGGGACTCTGTTATTTACTTCTTCTCTAGATCTCATTTCACATAAGAAACAATCCCATTTAAAAAAAAAAAGTCAAATTTTCCAAATTTCAGCTATATGGAATTTACAGAATCATGGTAACAAAAAGAAAAAATATGTTTTATTAATAATTGCTCAAGCATAAAAGAAAACAGTCTACCCTCCTATGGGTAAATTGATAAATAAACTGTGGTACATCCAGACAATGGAATAGTAATTCTATGCAAACCTAAATAACCTTTTAAAGCCACAAAGTACACAGAGAAACCTTAAATGTATACTTTCAAGTGAAGCAACTCAATCTGGAGCAATTATGTGATTCAGGTATTAACATATTAGAAAAGAAATAAATATAATGACAAAATATATTAGTGCTTGCCAAGGACTCAGGTAGAAAGAAGAAGGGATGAATAGGTGGAGCACCAGGAGTTTTTAGGACACTGAAACTATTTTTGATACTTAATGGTGGAAATGTGCCATTAAACATTTGTCAAAACCCATAGAATCTATAATACAAAAATGAGCCCTAGTGTAAACTATGGACTTTTTGTTAATAACACTGTATCAATATGTTCTGTAACCCAAAAACTGCCTCCCCAAGTAAAAGATACTCATTTTTTTTTAGATGAAAAAAAAAAAACAAGGTTGGTCAAGTATGTTGGCCAGTGCTTGTAATCCCAGTACTGGGAGGCTGAGTAAGGAGGATTGCTTGAGCCTAGGAGTTCAAGACTACATAGGGAAAGTAGTAAGGCCATGTCATAAAACAAAACGAACAACCCTCCTCCAACCAACCAAACAAACCCCCAGTAAGTGATATCAGAATGGGCAAGGTTCCATGAAGCCCAATAGGCACAGCTTCTAAAATCCAGCAGACAATTAGGAACCTAGAAAATTGTTATAATGTCTTTTAAAATCTGATGAAACCCAAATGTAATAACAAGAATAGTGAATAAATAACAATGAATCCACTTTGTATAATAGCAGGCATAAAATACACTAAATGCTTAAATGGAAAAGTAGACTGTGTTAACTTATATCTGGATTACTGCAACAACATACCTCAGATAATGAGCTTTGAAAGGGGAAAACTTATTTTGTTCACAATTTTGGAGGTTTCAGTCCAACTTCAGTTAGCCTATTGCTTTTTTTTTTTTAAATCAAATGTCCTTTAATTTCAGGCAACAATATGAAACATAAGAAGCACACAACAGTTTTGTAATATAGTTTCAAAGTGTATGCAAATTAAAATACAGAAGTTAAACATTGTTGTACTGACCACATTTTGACATTTTTAGATAAACTGCTTATAAAACTTAGAATTCAAATATTAGCCAATCTGAAAACTTTACTTTCCATAATATAAAAATGATACTTTGAGATCAAATTTTTTTACTAAACAAACAAGATAAAGATTTAAAATAATCATTAAAAACTCAGCATTAGAATTTATAAAGATTAGCTGCAGAAATATATTGGCAGTTACTTTTCTTATAAAGGTAACATTCACTACCTTACAAAATAGTCTCTAACATAAATTACCTCAATAACTGCTGTTTTAGAACCCGATAACCCTTACATTAAATCGATTATAAAATGTTATTGGAAAAACTTTGATACACATCTTTCGGGTTTTTTTTAAATAATATTTTAAGGACTTATGTAAACATTTCATTCCATCAAAGCACAACAGATAAGTAATGGATATTTCAACTGCAAATAAAATATAGAATAAAAAATTGTTATATATTTGTAAAAAAATCAACCTTACCAGAGTAAGCAAAAAAGTATCAAACTTTTAAACAGTTCTTTCCATTCTGATACAAAAATCACCACACTCCATTCATGTACCTTAGATGCCCAGTAGGACAAAAAACATGAAAAATGGTTAACCCAGACTCAAAAACTCTCAAGTTCAACAAATGTTTAAAAGCCCATTTTAAAGACTTGACAATGGAACAAGTATACATAATCAGAACACATAACTTATATATTTAGTAATGTCTTAGGTTTTCTTTTATATTTGTAATTTAGAATTTATTCATAGCAATAAAACACACACATACACAACCACACATAACTGAGAAAAGCTAAGTTTCAGAAAACATAAGAAATGCAAACTTAGAGGGTAAATTGATTTATTTTAAAAAATTCAATTTACCAAATTTCATCTTATCTGCATTTTTGGGTTGACAAGTATTATGATTTAGGAAACTGAAGTTGTTGAGAGCTCCTTTCTTCCTGTTCAGTGTTTTTAATTTATACAGGGCTTCCAGTTATGCTAGCAGCTTCCTTGAGGTCGTCCTCCACTTTACGCTGTCACCAATCTCTTACATATGACATACACCTCTGAATGGCAAAATCCTAAATGAAACTTAGCTTCACTTTTGACCTTTTAATTGACAAAACTCCATTAAAAAGAAATCCATCTAATTTTTAGGCAAGTCCACAAAATACTTTCTTAAAAATCAAATGCTTTTATGAGAGTAAAGATCCTTCAAAGTTTTTAACTCTTCTATTAGAGTTTTATTTTGATTTTTCAAGACTATGTCTCAATTTTTGAGGCATTTTGCAGATTCTTTCTTCTTCTCGTGACATTCTAGAGAAGCTTCTCTGTTTTTCATCAACCTTATTTCCCTTTTCAGTTGGGGGTCTTCTGTCTTAGCTGTCTGATACGTAAGAGTCACAGGAGACATCATCACCACGTTTTGTGGCAGTGAATTAGATGAATGTGTGGCATGGATCTGACATGTCTGCATATCTCCTGATGCAATCGGTACAACGACGTGGTTGCTGGGTACAAGTATTTGTTGTCCACCAGAGGACTGCACATACTGGAGAATAATATGAGTACTGCCTGAATTGGTCATGGTTAATGCCTGCAGTCCCTCCATCTGTGCCTGGACTGGCCAATTGTAAGCACCATTTGTGCAATGGCAAGTGTAAAGATGAGTACCACACTAGGATCCCATGAGCTTTCCGTGAGGAACCTATGCTGTCACAGGAGTCCTGACATTCCTCACTTTCTGATAAAGATGATTCCTGTCGAACAATATGAGAAATATGAGCCCCTGAACAGCTGGACCAGGTTGAGGTGCAATCTCTGCAGTGTTACTCTTATAGGAATCTTCCATAATCAACTTTCCTGCACAACTGTCTCCCAAAAGCCCACACCAGCTGGATACTCTCTGCAGGCCTTTTAGAGTGAGGTAGGTTTTCCTGGCGTGCTTTCAGCTCAGAGCTGCTCCTGGCCTCTGAGGGATGCCTGCCCCATCGCTTGTTAAGGGAGAAAGGATTTGAAAGGTGGGGTGCTCCTTCCTCATCTTCGCCTAGTTTGCCTAGGTGGTTCATAATCCTGTCAGGTACCTATGGGAAAGGATTTTTTTTCAAGTGCTGGGGATGGAACCCAGGGCCTCACTCGGGAGTTCACTGGGCCACACCCTCAGCTGGAAGTGGCCCCATTGATTTTGGTTTTTATGGGTGAAGCAGTATATCATTGTGGGAACACAAGGAATAGGAAGCTGCCTACCTCATGACTGCCAGGAAGTAAAGAGAAGAGAAAGAAAAGCACCCATACACCTCCCACTAGGCCCTACCTATTAAAGGTTTCTGTCATTTTTCCAATAGTGCCCACCCTTTCACAAATGGGCCTTCAGGGGACTTTCCCAATGCAAACTATAGCAGAAGCCATAAAGGCAAAAGTTTCAACAAATATCATAAGGTTGACCTGGCTGTGTCAGTGAAACATGACACACAGCAAACATGAGTAGAGGCTTGCTCCATGGCTAGGGTACAGTTAGGAAAAAAACTCCCTGCCTGCAGAAAACTGGCATATTAAGAAAGGGGGAATTCTGAAGAACATTGGCTCAGAGGACTTGTAGGCAAAATTAAAGTGCAAATTGTAAATTGCATGAGCAGGAGTGCATCTCAGGGGAAGTCATGGTATTTCCTAATTTGTATAAGAAGCTGGGATCAGAGGAACTGAGGCAACAAGAATCCATTACCAAGTGAACAACTAGACAGGTGACAGATATATTCCTATAGGCCAGGACCAAGGGAGACAGGAAGGGTCCTGCTCTCCAATGTGTGGGGGTGAAACAAGGGAGACTCTGCTGGGTTGGATAAAGACTGAACAAGCCTGGAAAGCTTGGTTGGTGAAACAAGAAATTGTTCATGGCAGAAGCCTGGATGCTTTTCTTCCATCACTTTTAGGTAGGCTGTCACCTTGACTTTGATCCATCTCATGCCTCTCCTTTCATGTGTGTTTATGAAATCTATTCTGTCAGCCCAGAGATAATCAGTCGAACAACAGAGTGCTTTCATGAGTTATGAAATTTTATAAAAATCTTTGAACCATCTCAATTCTTGTAGCAACTTTAATATTCATTCACAGTAATCAATCTTACAAAAGAATGGAAGGGACTTCCTATTCTAGTGCCTGTGCCTGGACTCTGGCTCCTCCCCGTGTAGCCAGTGCTGCCTCCTTAACAGGACATAAAATGTTTGCCAGCCTCCATAACAAGGACACAGACATCTGCCTGCTCACTCAGAACCACTCCTACACCAATCATGGCCACTTTTGTGGAGCTCAGCATCAAAGTAAAAATGCCCATTGTGGGTCTGGGCACCTGGAAGGTAAATATGCAAATCTTGGGACACCTGCCTCATTGGAGGGCCATTTGGGCATTGTCTCCTCTCAGCATACAGTGGGGCAGAGATTTGGAGAGCTGAGATGCAACCCTAGTTGCTTTCTTTCTCAGGGATGCTTCAGGCTACAAAGCTCAAAGACTGACTTTCTTACCCTCCCCCTACTCTCCCTCTGCAGTATAAGAGCTTCCCTAGCAAGTATCAAGTTTCAAAAAGGTACCAGACTTAAAAAATTAAATTACTTTTGGGGAATTTACTCTCTTAGTAGAATTTTCCTTGGAAGTCCTTCCTGACTCTGAGACACTCACAAGGGCTCAGCATTTTATAAGCCTTGGCACTTGGTTTTCTGCAAGCTGAGTAATTGAGCGAGCAGAGGCAGGTATACCCTGGCACGGGCACACCTTGCCGTTCATGCTGTGGGACTCTGACCAGCAGCATCAGTGTGGCTGTCTGCTGGCTGGAAATGCAGAATCTCAGAGCCCAGCCCAAGCTGCTGAATCCATGTTACACTTAACTAGGATCCCCAGGTGTGCTTGTGCAATTTAAAGTCTCAATAGTACTGGGACTACAGAGATCCTGGACTGGGGTCAGGAGCTCAGGTCCTGCTCAGGCTGTCAAAATACCCTAAGGCACACCCCAGTGATCTCTGAAGAAGGTTCATGTGCTGCCTTGAGATAAGTTTAACATTGTTCTATCATCTTCTCACTCTGCTTTCTTCCACATTTCCCTCAAGGACAGCACTACCCTAGCTTTTTCCAGGAAGCTACTTTGGATACCATCTCTCCTGTCCTTCATGGCTCACTTCTGATGGTCTTCCTCCTCTGGCTCTCTTTCCTTCGTTGCACCATCTTTCCCAGCTCCTTTCCGGATTCCTCTTTGTTTCAGCACTGAGTCATTCTCAGGACACATTCTTTCTCAAATCTGGTTCAGCACATCAGTGTCAGCTTGAGTCAGTCTTAGCCTCTCTTATTGAACAGCAAGATTTGTCCCAAGTCAGAACTTTTTTTTTTATTGGTTTATTCATATGTGCATACATTGTTTGGGCCATTTCTCCTCCCTCCCCCTACCTCCCTCCTTCTCTCCCCCACCCCCCTTGCTTCCAGGCAGAATCTATTCTGCCCTTATCTCTAATTTTGTTGAAGAGAAAATATAAGCAATAATAAGAAAGACAAAGCATTTTTGCTGGTTGAGTTAAGGATAGCTATACAGAGAGATTCCTAGCATTGCTTCCATGTGCAAATGTGTTACATCCCAAGTTGATTCATCTCTAAATGATCTTGTAACTAGTTCCTGATCCCCTTCTCATATTGACCTCTGTCGCTTTAAGGTTTCTCTATTAGTTCCTCTGCAGTGGGGACATCAAACACTTTCATGTTTTGGGTTTCTTACTATCCCCATACCTCCCATATGTGCTCTCCCCTTATCACGCAACCCAAGTCCATCCACATTGCTGTATTTGCCCTAGGTCTAAAGTCCGCATATGAGGGAGAACATACGATTTTTGGTCTCCTAAGCCTGGCTAACCTCGCTCAGAATGATGTTCTCCAGTTTCATCCATTTACTAGCAAATGATAACATTTCATTCTTCTTCATGGCTAAGTAAAATTCCATTGTGTATAAATACCACATTTTCTTAATCCATTCGTCAGGAGTGGGACATCTTGGCTGTTTCCATAACTTGGCTATTGTGAATAGTGCTGCAATAAACATGGGTGTGCAAGTGCCTCTGGAGTAACCTGTGTCTCATTCCTTTGGGTAAATCCCTAGGAGTGGGATTGCTGGATCATATGGCAGATCTATGTTTAGATTTTTAAGAAGCCTCCAAATTTTTTTCCAGAGTGGTTGCACTAGCTTGCATTCCCACCAGCAGTGTACAAGGGTTCCTTTTTCTCCACATTCTCGCCAACACCTGTTATTAGTGGTGTTGCTAATGGTTATTCTAACAGGGGTGAAGTGGAATCTTAGTGTGGTTTTGATTTGCATTTCTTTATGGCTAGAGATGGTGAGCATTTTTTCATGTGTTTTTTGGCCATTTGGATTTCTTCTTTTGAGAAGTTCTGTTCAGTTCAGTTGCCCATTTCTTTATTGGTTCATTGATTTTGGGAGAGTTCAGTTTTTTGAGTTCCCTATATATTCTGGTTATCAGTCCTTTGTCTGATGTATAGCTGGCAAATATTTTCTCCCGCTCTGCGGGTGTTCTTTTCAGTTTAGAAACCATTTCTTTTGTTGTGCGGAAGCTTTTTAGTTTTATGAAGTCCCATTTGTCTATACTTTCTCTTAGTTGCTGAGCCACTAGGGTTCTATTGAGGAAGTCCTTGCCTATACCTATTACTTCCAGAGTGTTTCCTGCACTTTCCTATACCAGCTTTAGAGTTTTGGGTCTGATATTAAGGTCCTTGATCCATTTTGAGTTAATATTGGTATAGGGTGATAGACATGGATGTAGTTTCAGTTTCTTGTAGACGGATAACCACTTTTCCCAACAACATTTGTTGAAGAGGGAGTTATGTCTCCATCGTATATTTTTATCACCTTTGTCAAAAATAAGGTGGGCATAGCTGTGAGGATTCATATCCAGGTCCTCTATTCTGTTCCACTGGTCTTCATGTCTGTTTTTGTTCTGGTACCTTGCTGTTTTTATTGCTATAGCTTTGTAATATAGTTTGAAGTCGGGTATTGTGATACTTCCAGCATTGTTCTATTGCCTTGGCTATTGGTGGTCTCTTGTGTTTCCAAATGAATTTTAGGGTAGATTTTTCTATCTCTGTGATGAATGTCATTGGGATTTTGATGGGAATTGTATTAAACATGTAGATTGTTTTTCATAGTATAGCCTTTTTTACTATGTTGATTGTACCAATCCATGGGCACAGGAGATCTCTCCACCTTCTGTAGTCTTCCTCAATCTCTTTCTTCAGGGGTTTGTAGTTCTCCTTGTAGAGGTCATTCACATCCTTTCTTAAGTTTACTCCTAGGTATTTGACTTTATTTTAGGTTATTGTAAATGGAATTGTTTCCATATATTTTTTCTCTGTTTGTTATTGGTGTATAGAAAAGCTAATGATTTTTGTAAGTTGGTTTTGTATCCTGCCACCTTGCTGTAGCTGTTAATGGTGTCTAGGAGTTTTTGGGTGGAGTTTTTTGGGTCTTTAATGTATAGGATCATATCATCTGCAAATAGGGATATTTTAACAGTTTCTTTACTTATTTGTATTCCTTTTATTTCTTCTTCTTGCCTAATTGCTCTGGCTAGGAATTTGAGTACTATGTTGAATAGGAGCAGGGATAGTGGGAACCCTTGTTTTGTTCCTGATTTTAGGGAAATGGTTTCAGTTTTTCACCATTAAGTATGACGTTGGCTGTAAGTTTGTCATATATGGCCTTTATAATGTTGAGGTACTTTCCTTCTATTCCTAGTTTTCTTAGAGCTTTTATCATGAAGTGGTGTTGGATCTTGTCAAAGGCTTTTTCTGCATCTATTGAGATGATCAAGTGGTTTTTGTCTTTGCTTTTATTGATGTGCTGTATTACATTTATAGATTTGCATATGTTGAACCATCCCTGCATCCTGAGATGAAGCTGACTTGGTCGTGGTGAATGATCTTTCTGATGTGTTGCTGGATTCAGTTTGCCATTATTTTATTGAGAATTCTTGCATTGATGTTCATTAAGGAGATTGGCCTATAGTTCTCCTTTTTGGAGATGTCTTTGTCTGGTTTTGGGAAGCATGTAATACTGGCTTCATAAAATGAGTTAGGCAGTTTTCCTTCCCTTTCTATTTCATGGAACAGTTCAAGAAGGGTTGGTATCAGTTCTTCTTTAAAGGTCTGATAGAATTCAGAAGAGAATCTATCAGGTGCTGGACTTTTCTTTTTTTGGGAGACTCTTGATTGCTGCTTCAATTTCATTTTGTGTTATAGATCTATTCAGGTGATTAATGTCCTCTTGGTTCAAATTTGGATGGTCATAAGTATCTAGGAATCTGTCCATTTCTTCAAAATTTTCAAATTTATTTGAATATAGGTTCTCAAAGTAATCTCAGATGATTTCCTGGATTTCTGCAGTGTTTGTTGTTATCTTCCCTTTTGCATTTCTGATTTTACTGATTTGGGTTTTTTCTCTCCTCATTTTAGTCAGGTTTGCCAGGGGTCTTTCAATCTTATTTATTTTTTCAAAGAACCAATTTTTGTTTCATTGATTCTTTGTATGTTTTTTTTTTGTTTCTATTTTATTGATTTCAGTTCTTAATTATTATTTTTCTTCTTCTGCTTATTTTGGGATTTGCTTGTTCTTTTTTTTTCTAGGAGTTTGAGATGTAGCATTAGGTCATTGATTTGAGATCTTTCTATCCTTTTAATATATGCACTCATGTCTATAAACTTTCTTCTCAGGACTGCCTTTGCTGTGTCCCATAGGTTCTGGTAGGTCCTGTTTTCATTTTCATTAACTTCCAGGAGCCTTTTAATTTCCTCTTTTATTTCATCAATGACCCACTTATCATTGAGCAATGTGTTCAGTTTCCAACTGTTTGCATGTTTTTTACTGTTGTTTTTGTTGTTAAGTTCTAGTTTTAATGCATTGTGATCAGATAGAATGCATGGGATTATTTCTATTTTCTTATATTTGCTGAGACTTGCTTTGTGCTCTAAGATATGATCAATTTTGGAGAAGGTTCCATGGGTTGCTGAGAAGAATGTATATTGTGCAGAAGTTGGATGAAATATTCTGTAGACATCAGCTAGGTCCATTTGATGTATGGTGTGACTTAGATCTACGATTTCTTTCTTGATTTTTTTGTTTGGATCACCTATCTATTGGTGATAGGCAGGTATTAAAGTCTCCCACTATCACTGTGTTGGAGTCTATATATGTTTTTAGGTCCTTCAGAGTACGTTTGATGAAATTGGGTGCATTGACATTGGGTGCATACAGGTTGATAATTGTTATTTCCTTTTGGTGTATTTCCCCTTTTATTAGTATGGAATGTCCTTTATCTTGTTTGATCAATGTAGGTTTGAAGTCTACTTTGTCCAAGATATTGCTATTCCTGCCTGTTTTCAGGGGCCAATTGGCTTGGTAAATCTTCTTCCAGCCTTTCGCCCTCAGCCAGTACTTGTTTCTGTTGATGAGATGGGTCTCCTGTAAGCAACAGATTGTTGGGTCTTCCTTTTTAATCCAGTTTGCCAAACAGTGTCTTTTGATGGGAGAATTAAGTCTGTTAACATTCAGTGTTAGTATTGATAGGTATGTGGTGATTCCTGTCATTTAGTTGTCTTTGTTGTTTAAGGGTTTGATTGTATGCAGCTAAATCAATGTTACTCTCTACTTTCTTGCCTTTTCTTCTCCTGTGGTTTGGTATTGCCTGTCCTTTCATGGTTTTGTATGCTTTCATGTTATGTGTGCAGGATTCTTTGAAGAATCTTTTGTAGTGGTGGCTTGGTGGTCATATATTGTTTTAGTTTCTGCTTATTATGGAAGACTTTTATTGTTCCATCTATTTTGAATGATAGTTTTGCTAGGCAGAGTATCCTGGGGTTGAAGTTATTTACATTCAGTGCCTGGAATACCTCACTCCATGCTCTTCTTGCTTTTAATGTTTCTGTTGAGTTATCTGCTGTGACTTTGATGGGTTTACCTTTGTATGTTACTTGTTTTTTCTGTCTTACAGCCTTCAGTATTCTTTCTCTATTGTCTGTGCTTGTTGTTTTAATGATAATATGTCATGGGGTAGTTCTATTTTGGTCAAGTCTGTTTGGTGTCCTGGAGGCTTCCTATACCTGAATGGGCATAGTTTTCTCTAGATTTGGGAAATTTTCTGTTATTATTTTGATGAATATATTACAAATTCCTTTTGCTTGCACCTCTTCTCCTTCTTCAATACCTATCACTGTCAGGTTTGGTCTTTTGATGGAGTCAGTGAGTTTTGCATATTCCTTTCACAGGTTTTGAGTTGTTTGAGTAATAGTTCTTCAGTTTTTCCTTTAATTTCCGTTTCATCTTCAAGTTCTGAGATTCTGTCTTTGCTTGTTCTAGTCTGCTGGAGTGGCCTTACATTGTGTTTTGTATTTCTGTTTCTTTTTTTTTTCCTGCAGTTTTCCACATCATGGGTCACTTCCTCTTTAATATTGTCAAATTTCATCCTTAATTTGCTTATCTCTCTATTTATGGTGTTCTCTGTTTCACTTTGGTGTTTATTCAGGGCTCCTATGAATTCACTTATTTGTTTTTGTGTCTTCTCATATTCTTTATTTTTATTGTCTTAGAATTTCTTGAGTGTCTCCTTTATGTTTTGGTGACCTTGTCTAGTATCATCTCCATGAAATTCTCAGTGATTTCTTGCAGGATTTCTTCTTTCAGAGTGTTCTTGTGGACTTCATTGGGTTCCTTGGGATAGTCTATCTTTGTTTTGTTGGAGTCTGGAACTGGTTATCCATTTTCTTCATTTCCTTCTGAATCCTATACTAATTTATTTTTTGGGAGGAGAATGGTTTCCATCCCTTTTTTGTCTTCCCATCTTTCCACTGGGTGCTATTTCTGTCCCTGTTCTGTGTGTAATTTAGTATCAGCTAACTTACAATAGTAAAAGTAATGAGGCCAAGAAAGAAGAAAAAGAAAGAAAAAAACAGAGAAACAAAGAAAATAACAGGGAGAGATGATGTACTAACAGTGAACAAAACAAGCACGTAGAAAAAGAAAAAAGAAAAAACAAATTCCACGTTCAGGAACAATGTTTCAGTCTTAGTAGGTCTGGTGTTACTCCTTCAGCATCCAGTCCTGGTGTTGGTATTTCAACAACAGCTCTGTCATTGTCTCGCCAGGTGGTTGAGTCAGGAGACAGCTTTGTGAACTGCTATCTGCCCTATTTTAGGCAGTGGCTCATCTGCCACCTACTGTTAGCCATCTACTTTTGCAGGCTTTGTTTACTGAAAGTTCATGTGGAGAGCAGCTCCTTGTTCCCTCCCCCCTTCTCTGGTGGAGGGGCTTGCCTGCTGGCTACTTTTGCAGGCTTTGTTTACTGAGAGTTTGCATGGAGAGCAGCTCCTTGCTCCTTCCCCCTTCTCTGGTGCACTCAAAGCACCCTGCCTGTCTGCTGCGTTTCCTTTTCAGTTCCTTGTTTATTATTCAGTTTTTTTTTATGGGGCAGGGGTCAGTCTGTCTGGGGGGCTATGCTGGTTTATCCCAGGGGTGGCTGTGTGAGTACCACATGCTGTTTATTTGCTCACCTGTTGCTCTGCATCTCACAAGCAGATTTGGAGCTGGCATCTGGCAGTGCGGGTGCCCTCCTGGTTTCTCAGTATAAAAACCAGGTGTGGAGAAGCTCTGTATGGCTGGGGTTTGTAGTGTTGGAGTTTTGCTTATTCTTGGTTGTTTTTTCCTGCCAAGTGTGGCTCCAGCATCTCAGCAAGATTTTTGATTTAGGGATCTCATGCTGTCTGCTTCCTCCCTCTAGTCACCATCTTGGATCTCCCCAAGTCAGAACTTTAATCTTAAATGATTTATTTTCCCTGGATAATTTTACTAAAAAATAATTTTTAGAATTTCAAAAGTGCTTGTAAAGATTATAAAAGAAGCTGTTTTCAAGACACAGGATGATATAATTTTAAAGGTTATGTACTTATTGGTGGAGATAAAAGAGCATGGAGTAGTTAGGAGAAGAACCCTGGAGTGCTTCTGAGTTACTAGCAGCAATTTCTTGATCCAGTGATGCTGTAGAATTACAACTCTGTTTTATGTACATTGTAATATTTATTTCTTGGCAGTAGGAGAAAATAGAAAAAGATTTGGTGAGAGATGAGTTTTAATGGTGCCCCCTTCCCTATTTCTTTTGGCTTGGCTAGGTTAGATCTGAATGAGGTCTAACCTAGTACTCATTAATAGTACAAAGGGGGTTTCATTTTGATAATTCCATAGATGTATACAGTGTACTTTGAACTAGAAGAATGCCATATTTTAAATGTTCTTTCTATCTCTTCTTTGTGGTGGAAAAACAAGTCCATTGTTGTAAGGTTTTCTCTTTCTTCTTTTTCTGAAACAATAATTATTTAATGGATTGCATCTTGTGAACTTTACTGGGTAGACTAAAAACTTTACATTTACTGTTGCAAATAATCAATACAAGTACCTTGTGATTCCAAAACTTATTTTGCAGTTAAGGATTAGAGAGATAGAATCTGCTCAGGCTCACATACCCGCTGTGGGTAGAGCTTGGATATATCATGTAATAATCATTTTCCAGATCCTTATCACTAGCTGGTCCCTGAAAATTCTTCTGGGTCAGTTCAGAGTCTAGTTTTCAGATTAGCCCTTAGCAAGTTCCAGTGGGAGCTATCTCACTTCCCAGCGATCAAGAGACACTTCAGGATTAACCTGGATTAGAAGGATTTTGATTTTTAGCTAGAACATGGGAAGATAATCAGAAAATTAATTCTCTTTTTTTCTTTTGGAAAGTTTTCCAAAGGGTGTTTTTCTCCCAGTTGTCCCAAGGCAAATGGGACCCTACCAAGGCCTTCATTTACAGAAGCTGGGTAGGGTCTAGCCTTTTGAAAGAGGTCTTGGGATAAGAGTATTTTATGGCCTTTTCTATTGCTTGTCAGTCTCCCCCAGGCAAAGTCACACAAGCTGTGAAGATGGCCATTGATACAGGATACCATCACATTGACTGTGCCTACATCTATAACAATGAGAATGATGTGGGAGAAGCCATCCAAGAGAAGACCCAAGAGAAAGTAGTGAAGCAAGAGGAGCTCTTCATTGTTAGCAAAGTACATATGGGCCATTTGGTGGGAAAATTTGACTTCAAGGCAGGTGGAAGTATCTGAATGTGGTCAGCACAAACTACTCTATCAGCCTTTCCTGTAAGTCCATATTTTGCCTAGCCCTCATCATCTCTGTCCCCAAACGCAAACAGGCTGCTTCCCCCCACCTCTGTGAGTTGGAGTTCCCATAGTGCAGATGGCTCTATTGTGCTGCCTAGTGGCAGACAAAAGTTAAGTGTGCAGTAAGAAATGAAACTGAAGCTTACATGTCAGCACTATGGTCTCAATGTCTATTTCTCTGAGGTTCTCAGTCAGTGGTATTTTGGGAAGTAGTGGGAGCATTTTTATAGTTATGTATGAATTTCTTTTAATTCAGATCCATAAAAGGTGAGTTATAAAATTTCATGATGGGAGGGGATGGATCATAGGTGTGGGTCTCATGGAGTGACAGTGTGGCAACTTAGCAAATATGACACCCTGAGTTCATATCATAGTATCACACACACTCACACAAAAGAAGGTGTGTGTTGGGGTTTAGGATCATTGGATCTGCATTACACAAAACTTGCTAAAAAGCACTAGTTTCAAATATTTGGAAACATCATCTGGTGGGACAAATAGTATGCCATGGCCATCATCACTTGATATGATAGGAGATAAAGGAGAATAGAAAGAAGACCATGTGTTCCTAATCTCATAAGAATGCTTAAAATTTAAAATGTAAAAGCTAGACACAATTGCTGCCCTCAGAGAGTAGACAGTCAAGGAAGAGAATAACACAGGTACACAAATATTTAATCAAAGAAAAATAGAATGCTAATATCATTGAAAAACTAGCTTCCCTTCAACTTTTAGGAATGGTTATTGACTTGCTGAGCCCTGCTGACCTTGCACACTGGATGGTATGTATTAACCAACTTCTTATAAACCACCCACCTGTTCTCAGGTTAGATCAGGCACAAATCACAGGGCAGAGAGAGAGAGTGTGGTGCAGCCCTTTCCCTCCCCAGTTCTCATGCCTTGTTGTTGCTCTCTGCAGCTGTGGCCCACCTACTTTGAGAGAAAATTGCTAATGAGAGTCTGTCTGAAGACCCTCAAGGATCTGACTAACTGGACTATCTGGAATCTGGACTATCTAGACATCTACTTTGTTCACTGGCCATAGGAACTTCAGATTTGAGCTCTTCTCTGCCCCAATCGATAACTCCTGAGCAGACAGATGCCAAAAGATAACTATGTGCAAAGGCTGGGGTGTGGGGTGACTGAAGCAGTTCTTGTGCAGAACAAAAAGGCACTGGCCTGGAAGAGAAGCATAGGCCATGTGTGGCCATCCTGGTAGCCATATGCTTAGGCTTTCTTGAGACAAACTGTGATACCTGGCAGTCCAGATAAACTGAAACTAGAATTGATTCTTGATTTCATATTTCATGCCTAGGATATATCTTGGGATACATATCTCAGAACCCACCCCTCCAGTTAATCAAAGCATCTGCAGGGAGTGGCATCTTGGAGAAAAACCCAGGTATGGTGATACTGGAAGTTAGCCCATACTCACTGCAGAAACAACTATCATTGCCTTGGGTTCTGATCCTGAGAGGTGGGAGTGACATGAATTTCCTTGTGACCTGCTGGGTGATGTTGGCATGCAATCCCTAACTCCAGCCTTCTAGATGCTGCAAGGATAGAACCAAATCATATGTTCCCCAGAAAACCACTCTTGACATCTAACCCTCTCTAGGAACCTTGAAATGAAAGTTGACCCAAAGTTTACATTGGATCTGGGCATGTGAGGTTAATGTCCATGGCAATAATGGTAATGATAGATTTTAGAATCGATCCTGGGAGGATGAACCAATTTGGGTTAATAAGAAAATCTAAGTGTTAACTGAGGAAAATGATGATGAATCAGGAAACTCAACAACACATAATTGCAAGGCTGGCAACCCTGAAATACATTTGAAAGAAATTATCCATGGTGAGTAAAGCATTAAATTTGCCTACTTACAGCAGTATGTTATAGGGAAATGTGGGGACAGACTATCTGTATTTCTATGGATAGGTTTTTAAGACTGTTCTGGAGTCCTCTGCAATGGAGATGAAAGGAAATAGACAAAAACCTAAAAGCTACAGCAATAATAATGATCCATTTGTAATATTACTTTACTAGACTGATGATGTTTTTTTTTTCCTTTGGACAGTGCAAGCAATCAAAAGCATAGCTTTAGGGGGTGGGGGCAGGGGGGAGAAATGAACCAAGCCTTGTATGCACATATGAATAATAAAAGAAAAATGAAAAAAAAAAACAAAAGCATAGCTTTGTGCAAGCTAAGGACATGCTTTACCTCTGAGCTACATCCTAGCCTTGACTGATCATTAATTGTCAGTACAATGCTGTATGTGCATGGACTCAATCCACTGAATATTATGGCACGACTCACAAGATTGTCTTAGATTTCAGCCTTCATGTACACTGAGTATATTAACTGGATAGAATGGCTCTGTCATGTATAGTGCTCCAGTAAAACATGAATTCTTAAATATCCTAGTAATAATTCATTGTGAGTTGTGGAGACTAGCATGTCTATTATACATTCCAAAAGATGTTGCTGTAACTCTTATGATAATATGGCATAAAGAATCAAATTATGTCACAGTCCTCTGCAAAAATGAGTACCTTGATTTCCCTAGTACTAAGTCCTCTGGGTGAACACAGGAAAGTTTGCTAAATAAAACATGTTAAAGTCATGAAAATTATCAAAATCCAGATCAGAGGCTCTGAATATGTCAGCACAGAATGTTTTTGTGGACCCATCAGTAATTCAATAGAAACCTCAATGACCACCATGAAGAAGAAGGGAGGGGGAAAAATGTGCAAAGAGTTCAAGAAGGATCATACATCCAAAGCAAACTTGTACCAGGACACAAAAAATTGTTTATATTGTGTCATTGCCCACTTAGGAGTTCCAGTGACCATCTGGTCTCATCAGTTCTAAACTCTTTTGTTGGTTTGAGGTCCTTCCTCATCGAACCTAGTGGCTCTTAAGTTACTCTGCCTTAAAACCACTAGAGGAGTTAAAAAAAAAAAACCCCAGTCCCTATGCTACAATGCAAAGGAAATCAGGAAGAAATTCTGAGAGTGGAATCCAGGCACAATATGTTTTAGAGCTCCCAGGGGGTTCCAAGTTGAAGCCACGGTTGAGAACTCCTGGGTAAAGTATTCTCTGAACATGGCCTACTTGTCCCTGCCTCTAAACTTTTTCCTATATTTCTCTCAAACTTGCTCATGTTTCTCCCTCTTTCCTCCATATTATTTTTTGGAGCCTAGTTTAAACTCCACTTGTAAATATCTCCTGAAATACATATGAACTCTTTCCATCTTTGTCCTCCCTGATTCTCATGAACATGCCACTATTAGATGATCTGAGGCAGCCTCAGTAATGTGGTCGATGGTTCCATAGAGGTGAACCCTAGCACTTTAATAGGACTGTAGGAATAGAAATATCAGAAGAGAGAAGTGCATTGGTGTATGTTTATAGTTTGACAACTCCTGGACAGTAACATGACATGCACTAAATTAATAACAGAGACATTGAATTTGGGACTGATGTTCACAGGTCTGGTATCTTTGGGCTAGTTTGGAAAAATGCCCATTTTAGGGTAAAAATTATTAAAAAAATATGCTTCCTTAGGGTTAATGAAGCTTTTTGTTTTTTTCTGGGCAAGCATACAGTGGACTGGATTTTGGCTCTACTGAACCCCTTGACTGGGTGTCCTTACCAGGGGACAATCATCTGCATGACCTTCCCCTACTGCAAACCAACTGAGGTTGGAATGACAGAGAATGATCCAGACAAGTGATGTCTCTCCATAGACTTCAGCCTTTTTCTAAGCTAACCCAGGTCACATAGGTTTAAGTGAGGTGAGAATAGAAAAACCTTCACCTTCTTTTTCTTCTAGTTGCATTTGGGATGAGCAGAGGCAGCAGGGATGGAACCAATCCCTGCTGGGCACCCAAGTCCTGGTTTGAAATTTCCTTTGAATTCTACAGCTAACTCTGCTGTGATGGATCTCTTACCCATGTCTCCTCCCTCAGAGAGGGAATAAGTCAAACTAGTGTGTGTGGAATCCATCCAGGACTTCAAATGTTCTCGTTTCTCTGACTGGTCATGGAGGAGCTGGTGGAAGCCCTTGGTGTCTTCAACTTCAACCTCTTCCAGATTGAACAAGCCTGAACTAAAATATAAGCCAGTGACTAATCAGGTAAATTTGGTTAGCAAGGGTCTTTCCCTATGACTTCTTAAACATTTGGAAGCAATCCAGTTCTATGCAGTTGGTCTCAACTCACAGGTCAGTAATAAGTATGCTTTGGAGAGGTGGGAGACAGATCTCCATGTCTGATTTAGCGTTTTATCAGTTAGCAGTGTTTGGCTTTTATTGGCTGATCTTTTTGTATATAGAATGCCCTATTATCTGGTCAAAAAGCAGGCAAATTTCATTAATGATACACTTCGTTCACTCTCCCACGTCGAGTGTCACCCATACCTCACCCAGGAAAAACTGATTCAGTACTGCCAGTCCAAGGGCATCACTGTCACTGCCTGTAACAGTGCTACAGAGCACAAAAAATCCCCAGGGTAGGTATAATGTAGTCATTTTCTCCTCCTTTTTGTCCAGCAGTCCATTATGTGAGTTTGTGTTTTATTCTTAGTGTTATCATCATTTAATTCTTTGGCAGGGAAGAAAATGGGAAATGAAACCCACTAAAATACTTCTCTTCAATTCCATAGAAGTTCAGGAAACCCAGTGGGTATCAGTCATAGATCATTGGCTTCCTGTCAACCCCTCAACTTAAGCCACAATAGCATGGTTGTTTGCATTCAGAAGCTAACTATACCATATTCCAATCTTTTTTTTTTTTTTTTTTTTGTCGAGATAAGGTCTTGAGAACTATTTGCCTGATCTGGCTTCGAACTGCAACCCTCCTGATCTCTGCCTCCTGAGTAGCTAAGATTACAGGCATGAGAGACCGGCACCCAGCTCCATTTCCCAATCTTATGACCCCTAAGCCACCCTCCTCATTCCTAAACAAGGGGAATCACCTGTGGATGCTAGGTATAAAGGAGATAAGGGGAGAACTGGCAAGTGTCTCTAACAGTTAAGTGCTCAACCCATATTAGCTGTTGTAGCTAAATACCACAGAGATATTACTAGAAGGAGGGTCCCTGGTAGGTAAGTGGAAAAATGCTGTTCCTTTTCTAAACAGGCTCTGATCTGGTTCTAATTCCAGAGGAAGCTGGTAGAGATCCCCAGATCTGTGACACCAGCATGCATAGTTGAGAACTATTAGGTATGACCATGTTTGATCATATGTATTACTCAGTGGAGTAGGGGATGTGGGATCCACTTTCTCTTGACTCCTTCTCAGTGAGTTCATCCTTTTCTCCACCACCCTGTCAACTTTCAGGCCAGGGAGATAGCTTAAGTAGTGCTAAAATTAATGACGCCCTAGACCAAGGATGGGCTGGGGGCAGTGAAGAGATAAACCCTGTTAGGGCTGAGCACAGTTGTGCCTTATGCCACAGAGAAGCTCCTTGGTGCTCATGAACAATTAGGTCATAGGACACACACAAGTGCAGATTGTCCTGGTCAACATGCCTGCCTTCTAGCAGCCAAGGAACAATGCAGTGGACTTGAAGAAGTGTCTGTTTGAAAGAACCTGTGTCTGTCATGTCTGTCAGGGAAAGCAGACTCTACATACATTGATGGTTCATACCTATAAGCCTAGGTTCCTGTCTTTTGGAGTAGTAAGTCAAAATAGTTCAGTCTTTGTGTAGAACCTAATTTGGAAAAAGAAATTTCAGTGGCCTGAAGGTGTATGCATGTGAGCTTACTTCCAGCCAAAATGGCTGGAGATCTCAGATCTCATTGCGAGTCATTGTACCAAGGATGCTTAGAAAATCTCACCTTTCTAGTCTTTGACTTCACATTGATATAGAGATGACTACCATCCTCAGCTTCAAGTGAAACTGGAGGGCCTATTATGAGGCTCAGTAAGAGGCATGGAGTTAACTAAATGGATAATCACAGGTTTCTCCAAGTAGAGGAAAATTGGCTGAGAGTTTTTGTTTCATTGTTTTTCTATTTCTCTGAGTAGTGCAAGCATGG